TTATGAGCATGGACTTTGGAATCAGAAAGATTAGGCTTGACTCATAGTTTCTATCACGTGTTAGCAGAGGAAACTTGAAACTTATTTAACCCCACTGAGTCTTAATTTCCTCATCTAAAAAATTAATGTAATAGTCCCTCTATAACTAGATGAAATGAGATGCTGTGTTGTGGTGTGGTGAGTACACACTCCAGAGCCAGACTGCTTGGGATTGAATGCTGGCTCTGCCACTCACTAGCTGGCTGACCTTGGACACAATGCTCCACCTTTCTGTGCTCTGTGGAGACAATAACAAGATCAGCTTAGAGGGTTGTTGTCAGTATTAAGAACCTATGTGTGTAGAACACTGAAAACAATGTCGAGCCTCTTGTAGTCTTTAATAACTGTTACCTAAATTACTATTGTGAGGGTGAAAAGACTTCTCAGTAGCAGAGAAATCCTTTTGTGAGTATATACATGTGCAGCATTTATAAATGTACTGCATAGAAAGTCTCTTGAAAGCTTTAAAATATTGCTTTATCTGGGTAATTTCTCAGTCTTCCCCTGAGTTGAGAAGTTATTGCAGACAGAGAAAGACAAATGCTGTATGATATCTCTTATATCTAGAATGTAAAAAAGCCAAACTCTTAAAGACAGAGAGTAGAATGGTGGTTACCAGGGGCTGGTGGAGGAGGGGAGTGGAGGAATTGGAGAGATGTTTTTAAAGGGTACAAACTTGTAATTAATAGATCAGTAAGTCCTGGAGATCTAATGCACAGCAAAATGATTATGGACAACAATACCATATTATAAACTTCAAAATTGCAAAGAGACTAGATCTTAATTGTTCTCACCACATAAAAGAAATGGTAATTACATGACCTGAAAGAGATGCTAGCTAATGCTATGGTGGTAAGCATATTGCCATACATAAATGTATCAAATCAACATGTCCTACACCTTAAACTTACACAATGTTATATGTTACTTATGCCTCAATTAAAAAAAGAGAAGTTATTTTAGATAACTTAAATGGCCACTTGTAAAACAAGACCAAAGTGTCTGGTATTTCTCTTCAAATTGAGTAAAGTTTAAGAAAAGTACAAATATACACACACACACACGCACACACACACACACTCACAGCTTATGAAGGTGTAGACGGGAACTGGGTCTAATGAAATGAAGCAATTGAAGAGAGACTGTCACTACTTAAAAGCGTTAGAAACCCTTGGCTCTAGATACCCCTGGGAATTGAAGGTTTGTTTGCTACAATAACTCTAAAACATCTGCTACACAATTGACAAGTGACACTTATGTCTTCTCCTTCCCTGTCATTGGGCTTGTCCACTCCGGGAGGAACCTCATGCCTCGTCCCTCTCAATCCTTCTCAATCCTCCATCTCTCCTTGACCCAGCTGTTCATCTCTAATTCTTTTCTTCTTTACTACTCTGTCTGCAAAATCAAGCTGGTATAAATCGCGTATATTTTTTAAATGGTTTTAAAAGTATTAAAAGGAAGACCTACTTACTCCTCTATTATACTCATTTCTGACAAGTTTGGGTTTCCAGTCCACAGCAGGCACTTTTTGGTTGCTATTCTGATAGATTATACAAAAGGAGCAGATTGCTCACATTTTGCATGTATTTTATAAAATCTATTTGCTTGGAAAAATGAAAGAAGAAATGCAAAACAGATTATGAAAACCAATATATTTCATACCTTTGTTATGTTAGTAAAGTTTCATATTCAGATAAAAAGAGTCATATGTTGAATTGATAAAAAATAATTTACTAAGAGATAATATAAGTATGATGGCTTAATCTCCCTTCTGAATCTAATTGGGTTTTAGGTCATAAAATGATGCTAAAATGAACTATAAAATCTTCAAAGATTCTTTGTATGAAAATAAATTTTATGAGTATGAAACAAAAGGAATTCATTTAATGTTTAGCTGGCAATATTGCTTTCAGTAGGCTAACATAAAAAGGGATTGATACCACAGATGTTTCATGATTACTTTATCAAAGTAAATGCATAAAATGTTTTACCTTATTCTTGTAATACAGAATTGAGATTGTTTAGCTTTTCACTTTGTGTAAGTTTGGAAATTTTTTCAAATAAACTGTAGCATCTCAATGAAATTAGTGTGTGGGGAGGAAGGATCTTCAGAACTTTAGCTTCCTTCAAAACAGAAAAACATATTCTAAATCGTTCGAGTTTTCCAGTTCATTTGGCCTGGGCAGCTGCCTGCATGTCTTGTCATAACTACCATGTTAAATTTAGTCATATGTTCAGAAAATGGAGAAAAACGTTCACCACTGGCAGGTGAAAACAGGAAATAAAAATATTGACTCGGGATGTTCCCAGGACAATTAAATAGCTAATGAAAGGATCATAGTTCCTAAGGCCACCATGAATAGGAAAGTGGGCACTAAGTACCTCGTTTGGCAGGCAGCTGATTCCAATTCATGATGCCTATAATTTCTGGCTATGTGAGTAATGTGGCAAAATAGCTCATATTGCAGTAAAATGGTGGGGAAAAGTGTTTTCTAGAGGACTTACATTTTTAGGATCACGGCAGAATCTTCTCTTGCCGTTTCCCCTCTTTTGGAAACACCTATGCTTTTTTGGAAATGCTCAGTCTTTGATTTTGATACCAGGTCTAAACAAAATGAGCACATACCTAGTCACCAATGGCATTGTTTACATGGAGGACCAAGCTGTTTTGGGTCTAATGTGACCTCAGACTGGAATAATTGGATGTGGTGGTGACGCTATCAAAAATTAATATATCATTTGCTCAGGTTCTGAGTAGAACACCACAATAAATTATTTGGAAAGAATTTCTTCAAGAGAAAGCTATCCATCTAGGAATCATTTTTGGAGGAGTTACCATGTACGAGGCACTGTGTGTGAAAAGAGAGAAAAATAGTGTTTGTGTTTTTATCTAGGAAAGTTAAATTTGATGGCACTTTTTGAGCAGTGATGACTTTTCCTTTCAGAAAAATATAATGACAATTAGCCATTTTTTGTGGTGGTTTTCAAGATTGATGGCAAAGTGCATCAGGCACTTGTTCTGAATGCATTTTGATTAAAGTATAAATCATTCAGACTGTATCCATTTTGTTTGCAAGTATTCTTTGTTGAATCCTTTGCCTACAGATGACATCAGGAAAATAACTTTTGTTATAGATCACTTCTGATGGATTAGATGGGAACTCTCAGTGCCAGGGAAGGGCCTGGGAGGAGAACGTTTCAAAGGAGGCAAGAGAGCAAGCCTTGAAGTTTCTGGAGGCTAGGAATCTCAGGGGGACAATAAAATCCATCCCCCAGTTCCCCTTCCACTCCCACCAGATAAAGAGATGTTTGGGAGCATGAGAGCCTGGGGCCTAGGAAATGACTATGAACACTGTGCCTGACTATATTGTCAGGCATCAATATAATCAGGATACCAGAATATTTGGCCCTCAAAAGAGGGCAAGATTTGCTTAGAAGCCAGTGGTCCCTGAAGAGTTTTCTCGATTGTAATGAGGGAATGCCAGGGAGGAAATGGATCAGGCAAGGTGGCTGACACCTTCATCCCCTTCCCATGACTGGACACCCTGGGAGAAGAGAAAAAAATAATTCTGAATTGATTGAGCTTATGCCTTGCTTGACTAAGAAAAGCTCTAAATTGACTGAGAAAAAAATTTGGAATTAACTTAGGCAAGTTTCAGTCATTCAGCAACCAAGCTCAATCACTGAGAGAGATGTTATTTTACGCATCTGAACTTTGTCAATTAAAATTATTGTGCTTACAAACACTGCTATAATTTCAGTGAATGTGCTTTATTTCCCATGTGTATATATAAATGATTTTGGAACATTTATTTGATGCCAGAATCAGCTTCATAGATAGGAATGTAAACTATTTTATAGAGTCCTCTTAATGGCTTAAATGAAGAGAAATTAATTAGCAGATCTTCATATGCTCGGAAACGTTTATATAACCTATCAGTTGATTGGAAATATTTAAAGTGATTAATGTTTTGAGTAAGAAATCACCAAGATAAACCACATCAATCACAAAAATCTTTAGGGCTTTGCTTGTCAATTTCTAGAAATGACCACTTAAGAGAATAGATTCTGTTCTGTGAATGTATTTAGAGTGTTTGGAGTTGATTCTGTGATATCCTAATTTTCTTCATAGGTGTAAGACCATTGAAGGAAATAAAAGCTACATTTTTGAATTAAATAAATTTAAAAAATAAATATATATACTTACTTTTATAGTAATTAAACTAAAATATTGTGGTCCACATAATTTGTAAGGATGAATTTTTCCACATACCTGGTAATTAATCATTAATTAATCTCACCTATAAGTAGAACCTACTTTAATTGATGAGAGAATGATGCTGGGAATAGGTGAGATTTATGAAAACAGAAAACTTTCTTCAGGATAATTCTTTAGGGGACAAGTTGGATGCTGGGGAAAGAATGAATCCAATAAAGGGGCGTTACCTGTCTGCTAGAACCTCAAGACCAGGGAAGAAATCTGGATGGATATGCTCTGCTTACTCAGGAGGACTTAAGATTATAAACACCACATAAATAATTTATGAAGGTAGTTGGTTAAGAATGGAAAAGGAGTTAATACCAGAAAATACAGGTGTTTTCATACAGGTAAGATGAAAATAGCAGGTGTTTAGATTTTGGGCTATTAAGTGTAGTTTGATTGAGCTGCTAAATTTTCCTTGGTCACATTACTAAATATGCACTCTCTAACTTGACCTTCATAAGAGAGATGTTTTGGTACCAGTGTTTTTTGATTGTATCAAAATCAATCAAATGAACAAATAAATAAACAATTCCTATAAAATCTTTCAGCACTGATGCAAAACATTCATTGAGTTAGTTCTATTTTTGGAATCCTAACTTTATTAAATGAAGACAATTTCTGTTGGTGTCATTGTCATGGTAGAACTAATCATGAGTCATTGATATTAGTTTACTGTCCAAGGATTATAAATTCAGTGAATTTTTTTTATTGTTCTGGATCCAATTGCTTGAAGCTTTAAAACAAATATGTTATACGTTATAGTATGAAAGACGGTAAGAGCATATATAAAGGACATTATAGCTAAAAATGGAAGCCCAAATATAAGGATGTCTAGAAACTTTTGAATGTTCTGTAACACTAAATCATAGTCCTGAAATATTTAATATTACATTCCAGATAGGGAGAAAGTCTCCATACATCCATTCAGCGTGCTCCCACTTGAAATATTACTTTCTTCTTTTTAATGTAGACAAAGATGACTCATGGAATTCATTTAGTTTCATAAAACGAATTAGCATTTCTTGAAACCAATTATGGTAAAAGTAGAGGAAAATAATTGTCAAAGACAAAAGTACAACATTAGCAGTGAGTAGCAACATTATGACCATATCTATGTGGGCACAAAGCGAAGTGAGGATCTGGTAATCGTATGATTAACTTTCTCTGAGTAAATAACTACCCAAGGTGATGATAATCGTGATGATGGTGATGATGGTCGTGGTGGTGTGATGGTGGTGATGATGATATTAACAACAATTACCATTTATTGAGTGCTTACCAGGTGTCAGGCATTGTTCTAAGCACTATTTTTGCATTAATGCATTTGATCCCCAAAGAACCCTAACAGGTAAGTAGTATTTTTACAGACAAGTGAGTTGAGGAACAGAAAGGTTAATAATTTGTTTGAAGTCACACACTGGTGATGGTAGAGTTGCAATTCAACCCCAGGCAATGTAGTCTAGATTCCGTACTCTAAACCACTACTTTTTAGATGCAAAAGTGAGAAGTTGATGTTCTTAGCTCTCCAACTACTGCATATGATCATCTTCAGAGACAAAGAGATTAAAGAATCCATCATAAGGATGGATTATTTAACCAAAACCTGTTATCCAAAATTTAAAAAATATATTTAAAGTAGTGGTAGATAAGTTTTTATATCCAGGGCTAATGGTATTGCTGTCTGCTTTCTCAGGAAAGCCTAATGTGTGAGTTAAGAAGATCATAGCCTATAAGGAATGTTTAAGCATGCTGAAAAGGCTCTCTTGCTTCAGAAATATCCCTAACACATCTGTCCTGGTGCTGGGAGCTCCTTCACTGGAGGCAATGTAGTATAAGAAGGACTAGTACAGACAGCATCAGCCCTGGTGTGGCTGTATGTAGCTTACAAATGAAGTGTGGAGGGAGGAGGAGAGACTTGGCTTCAATCGCTTTTACTTTTAAGGTCCGTCCCACCTCTAACAACCCTTTGGGTGAAGGGAATTCCTGTTAAAATGCACAACTTTTTAGGATTCTAATAAATTAATCAGTAATACCTAGTGAGAATTAATTACTTAGATTCTTCCCCAGGTAAACATGTTAGGGAAGGGCATGTATTAGAATTAATGGCAGTTGGAAGCCAGCAAAGAGAGCAGAGAATAGGCACTGGGAGGAAGCCCTGGGGAGCCAGGAAAAGTGGCAAGACGGTGCTATAGATCCCCAAAAGGGTGCAACAGAGCCTCCAGAGGGGGCCGTGGATCCTTGAGAAGGTGCTGTAGGTCTTCAAGAGGGTGCTGTGGAGCCTCAACCAGCATCCTGTGATGGAGAGTAACAAGAAACAAGTGAGTTGAGGAAGCTAGTATAAGAACAGTCCTTTGTGATTTCTCTTCATTGCTTTTGTCTGTCTTTATCGTGCTTTCATTGCCCAGCCCCTCTGCCCGGCCTTCCTCCTTGTACCCTCCAGTCTTTCCCTTACTTCTAGGGATTCCCTGACCCCTCCTTCCCTTTGGGAATTCCCTTACTCCCTTATTTTGTCATCCCCTGCACATACAAATCTTAAACTCTATTCCTCACAACCCATTTTTTTGTTAGACTTTCCAAATACCTGAGCTGTAGGAAGAAACTGAGTGGTGGAAAGAAAGGCAGATCTGAGACTACTGATCTCTTTACTTCATTTTTACTTCTCCCTGTAGACTGTCTTCTTCTGGATCACTGTAGGAAAAGTTCAGGAATTGTAGCTTTGGGTTTCACATAGAAAATCATGGATTCATAGTTTTGGAGCTAAGTATGACTGTAGTTCAGATTTTTTTTTAAAGGGACGAGTTAACACAGGCCCACAGATTTGAGACTTTCCCAAGACGTGGTGGAGCTTCCCGTTCCGAGTACCATGCGTTTCCATTCCACCACATCAAAGCACTGAGTGCCTACCTGCGTGCGTACCAATCCCCCAACACCCATGTACACTTACACATTCCCATTGGCTCTAAAACCAGTCCATGTCCCTGGGCTTTCAGTAATGGAAACAGCTTTCCTATTCTTTTTCCTCACAGTGGATAGAACAAATACTTTAATCAGGTCGATGATTTGCAAATGGTTTAAAAAGGTGGTTACCATGTTGAGTGCATCTAGTTTATCTACGTATCTAAGCACCGATCTAAAGAGATTTATTGCTATTCATGATGTCAGGATTCCGAAGTAGCACCAGATGAAATTTCAGACTCGGACGTGGTTACCCTGGTTACATTCCATTATGCATTGTGAGACGGTAAAGAAAGAAGGATTTGTGTGTTTGTGTTTTATAAAAATTAGAATTAAAATTTCCTTAAGGGCAGGGATTTTGTCTGTCTTGTTCATTGGTGTATGTCAGCACCTAGAACACTGGGGGCTCTGAGTCAGTAATTGTTGACATAAAAACAGTAGCCTCACCGTATGTCTTGATCTTTGCAGTAGAATTAAGCTCTAGAAATATTGTGCCCTGTTTCTTTCCTTATCAACTGATTCTCCTCACCCCAACCTCCAACTTATTTTCTACCATAACATTATCAGAACTCACCAGGATATGATTAAGTCATTATTATTCCACTGACTATTTAGCAAAATCTATATAACTGTTTTTAACATCTAGGAAGTTCTGGGTAGAAACAAAATTAATGTTGGCACTGAATACTCCAAATAATATCTAGACTTGAATGAAAATGTATATTATACATTTTCTCTGATCAACATATCAACAGACGCTAATTTTGTGAATTTATTTGGCAGATCAAGATATTATTTCCCAGAAAGCTTTGCTTCCATTTTATGGTTTAACTAACCACAGAACAAAAAAGATTTTCTCTTATTTTTGACTTAAACTTTAGAAAAGGGGATGGACACAGAAAGTCAGACTCATCTATATCCTTCTATGAAGATAATGAAAAAAATTAATCAATCAGCTGACTGTGAGTTTAGGACCAGAAATGATGGGATATGTTGCTGTCCCAAACAGTGGAAATTGACAAAATAATTGGATTTCCTTGGAGATAAAAGGAAACCTGCTTCCAGCTGCTCTTTTAGAGATAAAATAGACCAGCGATCCTGTAATGCTGGATTTGAACAAGTATATGTTCAAATCTAACATATATTTGCTTGTTTTGAACTAATTTAGACCCAAAGTGAGCAGACTTCTTATTTCAGTCTGATTTTATTTTAAAGGTTAGAAATACCCTGAAAATTTGAAACTATCAATGTATACATTATCATATTTTGGGCATCTGATTATTTGATGAAATTTTGACCTATATTGAGTCTGAATATAAATGTTATAATTTTTATTTTGTGTCATCAGGATTGTATATTTATTGCAAGAAGGGCAAATTGCCAGAAAAGAGGCATTTCTCTTTTGTTGAGCCTTCTTTTGCTTTTCAAAAATAGCTTTGCTGAGATATAATTCACATACCATACAGTCCACCCATTTAAAGTATACAGTTTAATGACTTTCAGTATATTCTCATAGTGTTCTATCTATCACCACAATTTTAGAACATTTATTCTCCCCAAAAGAAGCTCCATATACCCACACTTCTCAGCTGGCACCCCTGAACCTCGCATCCCTCTGCCCTAACCAACCACTAATCTATTTTCTGTCTCCATGGACTTGCGTATTCTGAGTATCTCATATAAATGGGATCATACAGTATGTGGTCCTTTGTGCCTGGCTTCTTTCCCTTAGCATAATGTTTCCAAGGTTCATCCATATTGTCACATGTATTAGTATGTCATTTCTTTTTATCGCCAAATAATATTCCATTGCATGGAAATACTACATTTTATTTGTCCATTTATCAGTTGATAGGCATTTGAGTTGTTTTTTGTTTTTTTGTTTTTGTTTTTTTGCAGGGAAATATCCACCATGAGCTAACATCTATTGCCAATCTTCCTCTTTTTTTTCCTCCCCAAAGCCTCAGTGCATGGTTGCATAGCCTAGCTGTAAGTCCTTCTAGTTTTTCTATGTGAGCTGCCACCACAGCGTGGCAACTGACAGATGGGTGGTGTGGTGCCATGACCAGGAAGCGAACCTGGGCCGCTGAAGCAGTGAGAGCGCCAAACTTTAACCACTAGGCCTTCAGGGCTGGCTCTGTTTGTGTTGTTTTTGCATGTGAGTTGACTTTTCAGCCATTGTGAATAATGCTGCTGTGAATATTCATGTACAAGTTTTTATGCACACTTTCATTTCTCTTGGGTATATGCCTAAAAGTGGAATTCCTGGGTCATGTATATGTTTAAGATTTGGAGGAATTTCTAGACTGTTTTCCAAAGTGGCTACACCATTTTACATTCCCATTAGCAATGTATAATGGTTCCAATTTCTCTACATTCTTGCCAACACTTGTTATTCTCTGTCTTTTTTATTATAGCTATTCTAGTGGGTGTAAAGTGGCATTTCACTGTGGTTTTGATTTGTATTTCCCTGATGACTAATTATTTTAAGCATTTTTTTCAAGTGCATACTGACCATTTGTATATCTTATTTGGAGAAATGTATAAAATATTATAATTTTATCTCTAAATTCATGTAGTTTTGGTGTCAAGTTCTATTTTAAGAAATTACTTTAAGCTGATTATATAAGAATTAAGGAAAGAATCTGATCACAAAGGACTACATATTGCATAATTCCATTAATATGAAATGTCTAAAATAGGCAAATTCATAGACACAGAAAGTAGATTATTGGTTACCTAAGGCTTGGAGAGTGGAGAAATGGAGAATTACTGCTAATGGGTAAGAGGTTTCCTTTTGGGATGATGAAAATGTTCTAAAATAAGATTGTGGTGTTGGTTGCATAATTCTGTAGATATACTAAAAACAATTGAAGTGCATACTTAAACAAGTGAATTTTATCATGTGTAAATGATGTCTCAATACAGCTGTTAAAAAGAAATCCAGAGCAAAAAATAACAAAAACAAAAATAAGGGGTCAGTTAAGTTTGTGTGCTGTGCTTTGGCAGCCCAGGGTTTGCAGGTTCAGATCCCAGGCATGGATCTACACACTGCTCATCAAGTCATCTGTGGCAGCGTCCCACATACAAAATAGAGGAATATTGGCACAGATGTTAGCTCAGGGCCAATCTTCCTCACCAAAAAAAAAAAGAAAAAACCCCACCACCAACAAAAACAGAACAAAAATACGAATTAAGCAGTTAGTTCTCTTGGGTATCTGTCTATTGAATTCAAAATATTGTGCTTTTTTCTTTGCAGTTTGCATAGCTCCTAAGTCTTACTTAATTAGAATAGAGAACAAATAATATGACATGCATATTTATCATGCCCTTTACTCCAAAACCAGGTGTCACTTGGTTTTATAACAGAATATCTTTTTCCCCCATTCTTGAGCAAGAATTTAGATAAAGTTAACATTTCCAAGAAAAATTAATGGATTTTTATAGTCCTTTTATTTTTGGTGTATTTTAAAGTAATAATAATGTAAACTTTAAAATATAGTAAATTAATGCTTTCCTCATTTAGCATTTTTTCAAATAACAGTTTATTGAGCATTTGCCACGTGAGACACATTCTGCTAGACACTTTTACATATTATCTTGTTAAAGTATTATTAACTCCACTTTACAGTTGGAAAGATTAAGAGTACCCGTGTTTATTTCATTTAATAGCATAATTAGAATAGCATACTTTTGGTTATGCTATGACATGGAGGGAAATTCCCAATTGATATCATTTTCCCTTGGAATATCCTAATAATACAATAGTTAATAGACGTCCTGCTTCAAAAGAGGAGAAGATGGAAGAAAAACAAAAAAAGTCACTGGTCGGTCCTAAGTAACTTTGAAACACAGTGAGGCAAACTCCATTTAGCTTCAAGTCCTGGAAATAATCCTCTGTAACTTGAAACTCTGCTGTCTGGCCTCTTAGCTCTGCCCTTTGGACTCCTAGCTCTGCCCTATGAGTCATCCTTCCTTTTCAATGAAAGGAAGCATGTGTTTGCAGCTTTATTAGCATACTTCTTGCCTGTAGAATTTTAGGGATATGACAGCATTCTTTCATTTTGTCCTTTTTATATATCTTTCAGTCCTAGCTAGTAGTGTTTCTCTTGGTATATTATTCTTAAGAACTTTGTGACTCTCCTGTCTATGTCATGGGGATTCACTCCATTAGACAAGAGGTTCCTCTACAGGTCTTTCTGAGATAATCCTATTTCTATTTTTGCCTTCAGCTGAGATGGGTAATGGGATCTATGAGTCAGTTGCGTAATCTTTTCTTTGTGTGACCAACTAGTCTGACCTTTTGATTTTTCTGAGGTATTAGTAAAAAGTTGTTTAGCCACATCTTCAGTTTTTTCTCCAGGGCATGGTTTTCTATTAAGTGAATCTCTTAATTTTGGTATTTTTTGCAATCTGGATGGGCTGAGGATTTCCCAAATCATCAAGTCCTGGTTCCATTTTGTTTAATAGTTCTTCCCTCAACTTATCTCTTTCCTCTAACATTTTGCTATAAGCAGCAAGAAGAAACCAGATGGCACCTTCAACACTTGGCTTGGATAGCTCCACAGCTATGTATCCAAATTCATCACTTACAAGTTCTGCTTTCCACATAACAGCACACACAATTCTGTTAAATTTTCTGCCACTATATAACAAGGATTCTTTTCCTCCATTTTCCCATAACATGATCCTCACTTCCTTCTGAATCTTCACTAGGATGGTCATTAACATCCATATTTCTACTAAAAGCACACTAGGCTTTTTGTATTGTGGACCTCAAAATTCTTCCAGCTCCTGCCAAATGCCCAATTCCAAAACCACTTCCATATTTTTAGATGTTAGATATAGCAGCATCCTACTAGGTACCACAATCTATATTGATTCGTTTTGCCTCTGTAGCAAATTACTACAGCTAAAAACAATGTGAATTGATTCCTTTACAGTTCTGGAGAGCAGAGCTTGATATGGGGCTCGCTGGACTAAAATCAGGGTGTCGGTAGGGCTGGACTCCTTTCTGGAGGCTCTAGGGAAGAATCTTTCCTTGCCTTGTCTAGTTTTCAGAGGCCACCTGCATTCTTTGCTTTGTGTTCCCATTCCTCAGTCTTCAAAGCCAGCAATGTTGGGCCAAGTTCTTCTCATGCTGCCATCTCTCTGGTTCTCTTCTGCCTTCCCTTTCCACTTGTCAGGATCCTTATGATTAC